CACAAATAAATAAATAAATATTTAATAAAAATATAATTAAAAAGGAAGTAAACACTGTAACCAACAGTGCACTCGGTATTCTGGGAATGTGCATTGGGAATCATATTTTTTTCAAATAAAGCCAAGGTAACACTCATTTTACATGCAGCACACAGTGAAAATTACATGAATATGACAGTGGGCAAATGCATAAAGCACAGCATAATTTGAAATCACGAGTTAGCGATCGCGCGTCTTCAGTAAAGCTTAACTCTCCTCCTGTCAGCATTCAATTCACACGGACCGACCGTCACGCAGAGAACACGCGATCATGCAGGATACAAATGCACACTTCACACGATCTCACAGCTGGATTCGACTAAGTTTGCAAGGTTTGTGAAATTAAATGTTCATTATTCATTCAAAGATTTGTTTAAATTATATAAATGCGTATTTGCTGAATGCTGACGGCAAACGAGAAAGTATTATAATGTTTGCCTTTCTATTACTAATAATATAATACTTTGTATACATTTTAATTCCTTTGTTTAACAGTTCTATCAGATTATTAGGCAGACTTCTATCTGTATTAGACAGAACTGTTAACAACGACAGCAAACAAGAGGGAGAAATTAATGTGAGCACTATATGCTCAGGCGCCGTCAAAATAAAAGTCCGTCGCACCTCGAACGCATCGACCAAACAGAAAAACTTATCGGCCGATGCCGATATTTGAAAAATGCCAAATATCGGCCGATATATCGGTCGACCACTACACATGACTCCAGTCCATCAATTAACATCTTGTGAAGTGAAAAGCTGCATGTTTGTAGGAAACAAATCCATCATTATCCGTCACTTCTGGCTAAAATATGAGTTCATAATCTATAATAACGTTTCCTCTAGTGAAGAAGTCCATCCCCTGTTGTCCTCTCACATCAAAATCCACCCTCATATTTGTTTAGAGCTTTTCTGTACTATTTTGGCTTGTAAATGGTGCTTGATCTGTGCATATTTCTCTCCGGATTCAGACGAGACAACTTTCTCACTAGAGGAAGCATTATTATAGATTATGGACTCGAATTATGGACAAAGTTTTAAAGTTAAAACATTATAATTATGGATTTGTTTCTTACAAACATGCAGCTTTTTTGGCCTCACAAGATGTTAATTGATGGAGTCGTGTGGATTATTGTGATGTTTTTATCAGCTGTATGTACTCTCATTCTGACGGCACCCATTCACTGCAGATGATCCACTGATGAGCAAATGATGTAATGCTACATTTCTACAAATTTGATGACGAAACAAACTCATCTACATCTTGGACGGCCTGAGGGTGAGTACATTTTTAACTAATTTTCTTTTTTGGGTGAACTATTCCTTTAAGATGCAAGACCATCAATCTTTGTTGTAAGACTATATAATTAATAAACTGTTTTCATCACTAAACAAAAAGTATCATGCTAGTTTTTAGAGCAACTTGGAGTACCACGTCATACTTCTTTGTTAGGGTTATTTACCTGAGCAAAATACAGACGCATCTCCTTTCCATTGAACTCACTCTTATGGAGTTTGACTCTGGCCTCGGCTGCTGCCAACACATCAGTGAAGTTGATCCGAACCCGTCTGAAGCTTTTAAAGAATTGGAAGGACGTGCCTGGATCAAACGCACGGAACAAAGCCTCAAACTGCTCCTGATAATGCAAAAAGAGGAAAAACATGTCAAATAATGAAATGTCGGAGATGAAACTAGACAATCACACTTGCATTTGATGGAGAAATACAGAAAACGACGTAATTTCCTCCATGAAAAACTATTTACAAGAGGGTTTTGAACATCATGAATGAACGAAAACAACCTACGGGCCTCAATCATGAAAAACGAGTAAAAGTAAAACTTGTGTAGATTGAACTGAACATGTTCATTTACATAACAATGATTTTATGAACAAACCAAGAAAAAATCCTATTGGAAAAAAAAAAAGCATGGCCAGGTAACACCAGCAAAGCACCTTAGGCTGGTTTAAGTTGATTTCTTCAACAGGACACTGCTGTTGCAAGCAAGAAATTCAATATTTATTAAGACATTTCTGTCATCTCACTAAATATTGGATTTCTTGCTAGCTACAGCAGCATGTGGGATGTTATTTAATGTGAAGAGTTTTCATTTAGACAAATTAATTCCGCTTGAATTTCATGAATGAGGTCCAAGATACTCTACTATTCAAAAGTTTGGGGTCATCAAAAGATTTTTGATGTTTTTAAAAAAAGTCTCTTCTGCTCACCAAAGCTGCATTTATTTGATCAAAAATACAATAAAAGCAGTAATACTGTGAAATATTTTTTACAATTTAAAATGCTGAATTTAAAATGCTCAAAGCTGAATTTTCAGCATCATTACTCCAGTCTTCTGAGTCACATGATCGTTCAGAAATCATTCTAATATGCTGATTTGCTGCTCAAGAAACATTTCTGATTATTATAAATACCGAAAACCATTGTGCTGCTTCATATTTTTGTGGAAACTGTGAATCAGTTTATTTTTCAGGATTCTATGATGAATAGAAATTTCAAAAGAACAGCATTTATTTGAAATAAAAATAAATCTTTTGATAATTTTAATGCATCCTTGCTGAATTAAAGTATTAGTTTCTTTAATAATAATTAAAAAAATTATACTAACCCCAAACTCAATAACACAAATTAACTGATTAAAACATGTAATCAAAGCATTCCGTTTCAAGCTTCAGGCCTCGAATCCTTTTGTTGCAGGTAGTCTCTATAGCAAACAGGCCATTAAAAACAGGAGAGCTGGAAAAGTAAGAACTGAAGATCAGCAGACCAACATGGCCAGATTGTAGTTTAGGCATTAGAGTCCTAAGTATGAACGAAACCAAATCTTTAAGCTTGTGGAAGACCAAATGTAAAAGCAAAAAACAAACAAACAAAAAAACAGTGCAATGCTTAGTTAGTTTAATGTAAATTAGCACCAGAACCTGAAAGAGAAATGCATCCGAATGACAATAAACCTTGACTTGACCACGTCATTAATGAACAGTCTTACCCGAATCTGTGGCCGACTGAATGTCTCATGGTCCACCGGTGTGGCCACCAGGCAGTAGCTGTTGCACTTTGTAGTCTTAAGATGCATAATTCAGTTTCAGTAGAACGAGAAACTCTGTAATGAAGCCCGTGCAAATTACATGCGATTACTCCACCTCATGTGCCAGCAGAAGTTTCTAGCGCGCAATCAGCAGTGCTGTGAGGTCACGGCTTTACTCGCAGGTTTATCTGCTGCTGCTTATAGCAGAGCTGATAGTGTTGAGCACCGCCTCTTCCTCTCTCTCTTTACATTCCTAACCTTCAGCCCCTCCCTTCATTCCTCTCTTTCTCTCTGTTTGTCTGTCTCTCACTCTTCATTGCTGACTAATCCTAATGAGGAACTGGAAATTTGACATCATTCAGCTATGGGCCGCAGTCCAACATCATCATCTCTCCCTTCAGCATGTTTCCACAAGGCCTGGGCAATCCTATTGTCTCTCACTTTTCCATTAATATGTCATTTAAAATTTTTTAATATCATTCATTACCATTATTTGACAATGTAACATTCCTACTGCACAAAGTCTCACCTGTTTCACCTGACACCAAAAGTATTTCACAATAACCTGACTACAGTAGTCAGATTATTGTGAAATAGTTTTGGTATCAGGTGCAGTTCCTGGTTCCCAAACTGTAAAAATGGTTGTTAACCTTACCATACATGGCGAACAACTGTAAATGTTTAACATCACATTATATGTCATTTTACTTATTAAATACTGTCAAATTTATGGCTTTCCAAGTGAATTACCATATAATTTACAGTAAAAGGACATTAGCAGAGAAAATGGTAAAAACTTGTTAAAAACCTTTTAACTGGTTAACCAAGTAAGCTTATCATATACGGTTAAAATCAGTAAAGTGTTTAACATGACATTATATGTAATTTTTAGAGCCCGACCGAAATATCGTTTTGCCGATATTATCGGCCGATATGAGCCTGTCGCCGATATATAGGTATCGGCGAATATGCCGCCGATATGAATTTTTTTTTATATGAGCATATAACGCAAATAAAATGCTTGGAATTATGTAATTACTTAGTTTGTCCAGCAGAGCGCACTCTATTGAAAATAAATATTCAAACCACATGTGTTACAACTACCACCCGTTACTTTGTGCATCGCACTCATCGCAAGTTTATTGTTAAATTGTTAAATGCCCTTACATATCTCTGTCACCATTATAAGTGTTTGATCACCACATTTGAGTGATCATTGCAAAAAATGTGTTTATGTATATATATTCTGTTTATGTATATACTGTATTCTATGTATATAGTACCAGTCAAATGTTTGGACACACGAATGGGAAAGTGTCCAAACTTTTGACTGGTATTGTACTATAATATACACAAAGAATATCGGCCGATATATCGATATCGGCCTGTTTTTACTCCCTAATACCGGTATCGGCCCCAAAAAACCCATATCGGTCGGGCTCTAGTAATTTTACAGTAAAATACTGTCAAATGTATGTTTTTTTTAAACAAGTGAATTACTATATAATTTACAGTGAAAAGCAGTAAAAAAAAGATTCCAGAAAATGGTAAAAACCTGTCAATTGGTTAATTGTAAGTAACCCAACCATAAAAAAACTATAAATGGTTTAGCATTGTATTATATGTAATTTTACTGTAAAATACTGTCATTTTTGCCCCAAGTGAACTACTATATAATTTACAGTGGAAAAGTAAAATGACATTCCTAGAAATCCCTAGGATTTTTGCAATTGCTACATTACATGGTGTCGTGTGCTATCCTGATGGTGTTTTGTCTTTGTGTGTATGCCACCCAAAATACTCTAGCACACAGGCACAGCAACCATCCAGAACACCCTAGCAACTTCCTAGCTGTGCACAATCTACAATGAACTCTGATTCATCATATGCCTTTCTATTGTACCACCTGTAATATTTTATGGTGGTTATCAGAACTACTACTATATATATATATTATATATAGTATACATGCTGTATTAAATTTTTTCATGATTTTCCAGGCCTGAACAAGATAGTTTTAAAATTCCCTGCCATTTCTCTGTTTTCAATGACCGTGGGAACCATTTACACCAAACAGCAACAAAAAACAAGCTGAATGTTGTGAACTCATTCTTGTTTGTGTATGTAAATGTGTTGATGGTAAAGTCCGCATGGTTAGACACGAATCTTGTTTAAAGATTACACTGGTCAGCGGTTTGACTACATGCTCTGTGTGTTCACTGTGGAAGGATGGTGCATCTCTGACTCAATGGAAAAATGGAAATATGAAACCGAAATAAGGTGATGGAAAAAATGCAAAGGGAAAGAGACAGTAGATGGGTGTTATGCAAAGACAAGTGGAGGTGAGACAGTGGATAGTTGTGCTGATATGTGACCAGTAGTACACATAAGCCCCCAGATGATATTTATATCCAGCTGCTACACAAAAGAGCATGATGAAGTAACACATGAGCCATTTACATATTATCTACAGTAGCTCCATGAAAGTATACAGACACTTAAGCTTCTTCAAATGGCAGTGCTTTAAATGTGTTTTATTTTTGTGCAATTACATTACATCAGATTATGATTCTGTTAATCATTTCTGTACAATACTTATTCCCATACATGTTTTTCTTTAATGTACTTTCACATTTTTTGTTTTTTTTTACGATAATGATATTTTATTTAAACTGCATAGCAACTAGGGATGTGCGCTACGACTAGTCTAAAATTAATAAACCCTCAGAAAACAGGCCAAAAAACCCCCCTGTGCATATGAGATTCATGTGAAATACTTAATCTATGAATCAAATATAAAAATAATTCTAGATACCTTATTATCCGAATTGTTATTATTTTCCATAAAACGGTTACTGTTTACAACACTGACAGCAATAAAAATGGCAGACGGGCTGAATGAAAATGCACTTGAGGACAAGCAGAAATACAGCAGTTACCATGGTTACCCCAGTAAACAAAGCAGAGCTGTGCTTATAAACAATATTTATACAGAGGTAACATGAAAAAAAATGTTAATGAACCCTTTCCGAAGAAAGTCATTTCCCTTTTATTTATAACGTTTCCCCCTTTAAACCGGTAAAGCCGGTAGCAACCACCCAGAGCAATCTAGCAACTGCTTAGTAACAACCACCCAAAACACCCTAGCAAGCACATAGCAACATCCTAGCAACCTAGAAACCACTCAGAACACCCTGCATAGCACCACCCTAGCAAACCACCCAGAACACTGTAGCAAGCAACCACACAGAAACACCCTAGTAATTACCTAGCAAGCACTCAAAACACTTTTGCAACCACATAGCAACAACCTAGCAACTACCCCGAATACCTTAACAAACGCATAGCAACACACTAGCAATCTGCCAGAACACCCTATAAAAAATGCATAGCAAACACCCAAAACATCCCAGCAACAGTATAGCAACATAGCAACCTCCGGTTTGCTCTGTTGACGCGTTTTCCTCTTTTGTTTTTTGTCCGCCATCTCTATCTTTCTGTCACTCGGCTCGGCTAATGTCCGTCCCATGCACTGAAAGCTCTCTCCTCCACATCACGAGTAGACACGCCCCTTATTGCTGATTGGCTACA